TTACACCTGATCTTGAAATCTGATTCGTAGTTCAAGACATCTGCGCCACAAACCTGGCACACATTCAAGGGGTGCCATGTATTAACCCGTGATGAATTTTGATTGGTCGAGTATGCTTAGATCGTCAGACGGCATGGATCTTCATCTAACATCTTGCTGGGTAAAATCCACCTATTATTTTAATCCAACTTAAAAAAAAACTGAAAAAACACTCCCAAAAAGGTTTAAATTTCATAATAAAATTTCAGCATCATCCACGACAAGAAACTACGTAGCACGTAGTGCTTTTTTTTTAGTTTCATATAGTAATAAAGTAATATAATAAAGTAATATGTATGTCTATCTATATTTAGGGTTATCTTGGAATAACGATAATCTTGTAAATACAGTCGTCCTCCTATATAGTTACCTCCTATATAATCACATCATAGTAAAATCACCTTTTTATAATCACGCTAAAGTCCGCAACACTACTTTTATAAACTTATAAAAATATATACCTATTTATAAGCACATTAAAATAAAAACCTTTATATAATCACGCAATTTGCATGATATGAACTGTGATTATAGAGAAGCTTTTCAAATTACCGTGATCAGCAAATTTCACGTATCACACTGTGAATCAGAAATCTAAAATAAATACAATTCTGTGATTGGTTGGAAATAATTTTTGGCGTGAAACTTGCTGATCACAGTAATTTGAAAAGCGCAATAAAAATATAAACATACAGCATAGTAATTACTGTATTCCATAAGGTTATTTTCCAGACTTAAATCTAGAATGCCCCAATTGTCAATTAAGAAATTGGCATTTGGGATATACGTAACATATATCCGTATAAACGAAAACGTAACGCCCAGTGGTGTATTTCGAATTACAGCCTAAATGCAGAACACGATCCGAAATAATGCTTCCGGGCATTATTTCGTACTCATATAGTATAAAACGTATACGTACGTACGTGCGTACATCTTAAACATTATATAATTCTGTATTACAGTAATTTTTTTGATTAGCTATGTATTATATTGTACGTACGTACGTACGTACGTACATAATTTTAGGATTGACTAATTTTGCTTTCACTTTCTCGCATTCCCTATTGGTCACACTTCGATGAAAAGTGCAAAATTAAATGCCTAACTATTTCTATTCTTGCTTAACAAATTAGCAAGATAAACACGAGGGGTAAGATATTCGAATTCATTTTATTCCATAAAAATAATTCTATAATCTCTGATCTATTAGATCTAAACCAAAATTTGATACGTAGTATCGGTATAATAAATATATATAATGAAATATATATGTTAATATTCTGGTTTTAGTAAATTCTACGTACGTACGTATGAATTTTTTTTTCTAAAAATAGATTCACTATGTTTTTCTAAAAATCTCGTGTGACAATGCTTCGGAGGGTCATTTTAATACGTAGCAAAGATCCCAATTTGTCTTAATATGCAATAGATTGCGCGATAAAGAATAATAATCATGGAAGCGTAACAGTAAACGAACTATGTGATACAGGTGATACAATATTTCACCCTATAATTTTAATAAAAACCTGTTTTAACAAATCGTTGATTTTTATTCTCAAACTTCCCTGCTCGCGACGAACCCAATAATCCGGTTATTGACTATGTTCTAAATTTAGTTAAATTCAGGTGATTTCCACAATGGAGGATACTGCTGTACTGTTCGTGATAATTACCTTAGTCACGAGATTAATTACAGTATCCTAAAAATCTTCCAACTGTCGGGCTTTTCATAACTGACATCTATTTTAAAGTATATTATTCTGTTATTGCGCTGAAATTTACTCATTACTCAAAGGTGAAGGAAAAGAAGGTAACAATGTCTAACGTCCATTGTCCTAATATCGATTACCTTGTGGTGATCGATTTTGAAGCTACCTGTGACGAAAATTTATCAAATCCACAAGCTGTACAAGTGACAAAGGTATTGTATTGCAAAGTACCATTATTTTATTCTAGCAGTTATTTTTATTGTTAGCTTTATGGCTGGGTTCGGTTCTAGTGTGTGTTCTTGAGCCGATCCTGATACATCTTTGTTTTTTTTTGTTCTCCACGAGAAGTAATTACTTTTTTAATGAGATTTATCACCTGGTTTGTACCCCCGTTGTTGGCTTGCTTCTTTACTAGGAAACTGCTGAAATTATTGAATTTGCTTGGGTGATTGTTGATACTAACACTTTAGAAGTGGTTTGTATTTCCCTGGTGTTTCTTTCCTTAGGGATGCCCTTGATATTTAAATTCTTTTAATCAAACCGTTTAGGTTTATCAACATTCTCAATATGTCAAACCAGAAAACACTCCGCTAACTTCTTTCTGTACTACACTCACAAACATAACTTGGGACAAACTCGAGAATGCTGGAACTTTACAAAACGCCATTTCCACCCTTGATAATTATATTCAATCTTTTATTGTCTCCAACAACAAGTCATTTTGTTTTTGCACGCATGGTGCTTGGGATCTTCGTATTCAATTGCCCCGAGAGGCCAGGGATAAACATATTGACTTACCTACTTATTTAGCTTATTGTCGGATGTTCGATTTGAAACAGGAATATCAAAGGTGGCAAGTTCATCATCCAGATGTAATATTAAAGTGTCAATCGTTGAATGAAATGTGTGCAGCCTTCGAATTACAAGTTGTAGGACAACCCCATTCTGGTTTAGGTGACTCCCTGACTATGGTTAATATTATTCGATATTTTTGTTCTTTCGGTCATCAAGATGTATTTGTGAATCCTATCGATACCCACGCGGATTTGAATCAATTTAAAAAAGAACAATCAAAGGTTATCCATTTGGCAGGCTTACCTTATGATGTCACTCAACCTGAATTAGAAGCTTGGTTTTCTGGTCAAGGTGTAAGACCGACTACATTATGGATGATTAAAACGCCTGATCATCAAAAACCTAGCGGCTCTGGATTTGGAATCTTTACTACGCATGAAGATGCCATGGCTTGTTTGGATATGAATGGTAGGACCTTAGGTGATAGAGCTATTGAAGTAAGTCCAAGTAGCGAAAGGGTCATTGAGGCAGCGGGGGCTATGTTGGCATCGTTTCCGGTATGTGCATTTCGTGCGGCATTAAATTTCTTTGTGTCTTTTTTCAGTTTAATGTCAATAGTGATACCCTGCAGCTAATCAGAGGACTTGTTACTTGATTCAAATCCGAATCATCTTTGTCACATTATTCACCATTTTGACCTAATGTAAAGATGACCAAAACCCGTCTACGTCCTGGTGATTGGGTCTGCACTGTTTGTCAATTCCATAATTTCGCTTCTCGGAGAACTTGTTTCAAGTGCAATGGTAACAATCCTAATCCGATGGTGCCACAAACTCCTCCTAATTTTACGTTGGGTGATTGGATGTGCCCTAACCCTCAATGTAATTTCCATAATTATGCCTCACGAACTCATTGTCTACGATGTGGGAATTATAAACCTCAGGGCATATTTGGCCCCCCTCCACAAACAAGTATACCATTTAGACCTGGTGATTGGATCTGTCCTAATCCAAATTGTTCATTTCAGAACTTTGCGTCTAGAACGATTTGTATGCGATGTGGTTCCCAAAACCATTTGGGTTATGATTCTTACGGGAATCCTGCGAACGATCAAGGTTATATTTCTAACATAGGCCATGGCCCTTCATCACCAGCTCCGGCGCCATTCCGTGCTGGTGACTGGATTTGTCCGACTTGCAACTCTCATAACTTTGCTTCTCGTTTTCAATGCATCCGTTGTGGACTGTCAAAGCCTGCCCAGCTTCAAGGCAATCCTCCCCCAACGGCAAACATGAAACCTGGCGATTGGTTGTGTCGTAATGAAATATGTGGTTATCATAACTTTGCTAAAAGGACACATTGTGCAAAATGTGGCACTCCAAATAATAGTGCAACGGTTGGGAGTGAAAATGGTTTTCAATGAATGTCATTATTCGACGGTGTTAACTAGCTTTATACATGAAATTTTTTTTATTGGGTATTGAAAAATTTTGTGGATATTATGATTTAGTCGCCTAAAATCTCGAAAAGTCAACGTTTACGATTTTAAAGTGGAGTGAGTACTATTTAATCCCCATATATAGGTGAACGAAACGCTAGTTGATATAATTCAATATTTCCCCTTTTTTCCTTAAAACTTTTATATTGTTTTCATTGTATATATTCTGACCGGATATTATTTTGCTCTGCGTTTTTATGTTGTATTCTGGTTGATTCTTTTATTATATAGAAAAATTTTCTTCTATTTTTCATTGGTTGGTTTTGCATCGCGAACATTCTGTTTATCTGTTCATACATCTCGGGGTGACCATTCAATATATAGTATTGGTCAATTTTTATATTTGTAGAGATATTATGGGCACATGCTTCTAAATGAGACTGGTAAAAAAAAAAAAAAAAAAAAAAAAAAAAAAATACAGTACTGCAGTATGTGCAATCGATTTTGTATTGCGCTTGCTATTAAATTCCGATGAAATGGTTGTTTATGAATCCAACAATTTGGTTTTAGTCACTCTAGTATTGTATTATACTAACGCTCATATTACTTATTTCCTATTTTCTTTATTCCATATGAATATGTAGGTCATCAAAAAAATTCTTATTCACAATCTCAAATTTTGAATTTCGACCTGAATTAGAAAATACACTGGACCAATATTAAGCTGCGTTTTGTTACTGTACATAAATTTGTACGAATTTATTTGTTTTGATAGGATTAAAAGAATGTAATATAATATTATTTAGCATGAATTTAAGAACACGGGATTTATACTACGTATACAAATCTGATATAAAAAATATTTGTATTCCAAATATATAATAGATTAAAAAGTTTAAATTAATAATAAACCTATTTCTTTATTTTTTTATAAGTTTGGTTTAAATTTTTAAAAATATTAAACCAAATTGGTATTTTAGTATAAATATATTTTATTTTAATTTACATTACAGGTGATTATCACCTGTAGTATAATTTGCCAATCAGATTTTAGAATTAGTTGTAATATATATGTTAATTTGTGTAATAAATATTTTTTGTTAAATTTTGCTATATATTATATATATTTTAATTTTTATTCTTACTTTAATACTAAAAGGTTTAAATTTTGTTTTAATAAAATTTATTTATATCTTACCTTTGAAGATTAAAAATAAAATAAAATTTATTTATTTTTGTTTATATATTATAAATATATTTATAGTAAATATTATTTTTTTTAATAATATTGTATTTTATTTAAACAAAATTTATATATTTTTAAAAAAATTAAATTAAACTATACAAATTAATTAATTATAAAAAAATTTTAGATTATATATAATTATAACAAATCTATTTCAATTATCAATACTATTTATAACCTTTTTACAAATCAACACAACCAAGTTATTTTTAACTTAGGGCTCATTTCTTTATACTTTGTATATAATAGTATTGATTAAGATAAAATTACACTTCTCTGCTTTGAAGAATATACTATAATTCTCTTATCACCTATAATTTACTAAATATACTATCAAAATATTATAGATCACTAATCTAAAGAAAAAAAAATTTAATAAACTTTAAACTCACTATTCTGTACTTGTCTATATAGACAACATCCTTTGAATTGCATTCTCACAAACTAAACTATCTTATATAATTTCTGTAGCAAAATTATTTTATAAGATAGTTAATATCTAAGTCAGTTCTTCTAAATCTATATTTACTATTAATAATTCCTTCTAACTACCACCTTATTATCTTTAATAATTATATTCTTTTTTTATACTTATACTATAAACCCTTTAAGTTTTTTGATTATTAGGTTATACTTGATAACAAACATCACAAACAAACACAATTAATTATTAATAAATTTCTTTATCTAATACAAATTGCTGATTCTAAGAGAAATATAAAAAATCATATAATTTTTTAAAGAAGAGTTTCAAATCTATCATGTTCTAAAAAAAATAAATTTTAATTAATTAATTTCTATTACAGGGAAAAGAAGTAGATTTTTTAGTAAGGGCAGTGTTATTTATCACCAGATTTTTTTTTATCAAAGGCTTACCCTCCTCTCCCCTCTTAATATAAAAAAAATCAGGTTCTTATATATAATTTTAACTTTTTTTACCCCCTCTCCCTCTAA